GCGTGCGATCTACGTTTGATCAGAAAATATGCCCCCCACCCCAACCCACATATCGGAACGCCTGAATAGGAGGCAACGAGTAGGGGTCTCTTGTAATCAGCGGCAACCAACAGAGCTAAAGCTTAACAACATGCATGACATGAGGGATATTACAAGCCTTTTAGATAACAGCAAGAGACAGAGATCACCAATGTCTCCCTTCAGTATGTTTTATTTCAGACCGCCATCAAAATCAGCAAACAAGAGGTATCCACTTCATAGAAAACAGTAGTTTTTACAGATAAAAATTCACATAAAAAACTACCATTGATTACATGATATGACGGACAAAATAACTAGTTTGAATACACCATTGCAGATTATATATAAAATCTAAAATGCTTTTTGTCTAAGTACATCATCAGTCCTATACTTACATAATGGTGCCTTTGTCTTTATTGTCTAACCATGGGCTATCCAGAAACACCACGAGCAAGCCAAGGACATTATACACAGTGTATAATGTCCTTGAGCAAACGTATAATAGTTGTTGCATGTAAGAAGTTTGAAACTTCAAATCATGTTCTACATTCGTACTGTGCTCTGAATGTCCGATGTTGATTTGCCATTAATTAGATGTACTAATTAAGATTAAAATCATGCATACTTATTACCATATTGACCTTTACACTATCAGTACATTAGATTATAGCAATAAACGAAAAGCTCACTGAAGCTGTGTTCTAAGATCAGAAATGTCTACATCTTATCACCATATTACCTATATCTTTGTCAAAACTTAATACATAAATTCATACCACTGCGGCCCTTATAGATACATAATATATAACGTTATATAATAACATTTTGTCAAAATCTGCTCAGAGTTTCACCTGTTCTAAGTACCTGTTCTAATCAGCTAAGATTACTTTACTAGTATCTTTGACATAAACTTTTATTGCTAAGAGGTTGAAACTATACACAGTTACATCCACAATATCCCTCAAAAACACTAAATATCCTCATTTGTTCTATTCGTCTCAATATCGCTCTATTATCCAGTCATTTGACAGTTTTGACACCTCTTGACAGTTTTCTCAGCTTTCGGTCAGGTCATCCTCAGCTCACGGACTTGCAGCTGAAAGATTAAACAAATGCCTACATCATTCCCAATCCACAAGGACTATGCTTGCTAATTGAAGACCTCAACCTCTATGAAGGTCAAGCAACCAAGAGATGATCAAAACAGCTCGACCTCAAACCAAAGTCATTTTGAAAAGGTAGTTATTCTAAAAAATTACCGTATTTTACATATTCTATTTATTCTTTATTTCAGCTCAAAGGCCCATATCATTTCAAAATAAAAACTTTATCGTTAACTTTATTTGTTGGGAGAAGAAGAAGAGGAAGATGAAGAAGTAGAAACCGAGCAAAAACAACATGTTTTCCCTCTGCGAAGGTGAACATAAATATGATGGTACTCACCTCTCTGGCAGACGTAGTTCCTGCGAGAATTGCAGGAGTAGTAGAGCCACTGGTAGGACGATGAGGGCCACATGATAACGCAGTCCTTCCAGCGGTTGTTCACGTTGCTGTTCGTACGGAAAGGCCGGAAGCTGCCCAGTGCCGTCCCGTCGCTGTGAACAAACGTGCCCTCCACCGCCCGGTCACTCAGTCCGATATAGTGGGGCCTGGAAGACACAACATACACAACATTTACATGGACCACAACATACACACACGAATCTTGTACAAGCGACCACCCCATCCAATACCCCTACCCTCACCGAGCTGGAGCCCTCAACCAATTGCACGAAAAGGGAAGAAGAAGAAGAAGAAGAAGAAGGAATAAATTCGACATGCTTATCGGGTCGCAACTACAACATACAACATATACAACGTATGCAAGGCAGACAGCACATACAATGTATACAACGCATACAGTTGACATGTATTCGTTCATTAGTGAACGTGTCGACTTATTACATGGCAATCGATTGTGTCATTCCAAAGTAATGTACGTAGAAATATATCTGTTAAATGTGCAGACTAGACACGTTCTACCTTGTACGTATTGAAGTTTTCAACCATTCTTTATTCATGAGAAGCTCAAATCGACCTGCAGGCCTCTTTCCATTAAGGTCATGAGGGGAGAGGGAAGGGTCTGACAAGATTTATCGAAAAGACAAAGTTTACATCATTTAAAGTCCGAAGAAATCTATAGACACAGATAGATTTTACACATACATGGTATACAAAAAAACGGACATAGTCATGTTCTCCCCATTTGACCTTTGTTGTATTTAATCGAGAGCGACAACTCACCTGCGGTTTGTGGTAGCGATGGTCATCTTGATGAAGTTGTGCTCCTCCTCGCTCTTCACACACGCCAGGCGAGCGCCCCTAGCGTCGCAGTCTGTCTCTGCAGTCGCCACGACGTTCCTCACGGCGGTGGGAGAGAACCAGTAGCACTGATCTCCGAACAGCCGGAATCCGGAGGGGCAAGCTGAGGGGAAGATGGCAAGACATCGTTAGAGAGACCACCAACGATGAACAGCATCTTAATCGGATCTGCATCTAGTAGTAGAGTCTGATAGATCTATCTGGATTCTCTACCAGTAGAATCTGTTAAATTGATCGGGACCCCTGCCAGTAGAATTTCCTAGATCTATCTGGATCCCTAGTATTCCCTACCGGTAGAATCTGCTAAATCTATCTTGATCTCTATCAATAGAATCTGCTAGATACATCTGGATCCCTAGTATTCCCTACCAGAAGAATCTGCGAGATCTATCTGGATCTCTACCAGTAGAATCTTTTATATCTCTCTGAAGCTTTGCCAGTAGAATCTGTTAGGTAGATCTGGATCGCTAACACTAGAATCTGCTATATCCATCTGGATCTCTACCAGTAGAATCTGCTAGATCTATCTGGATCTCTACCAGTAGAATCTTCTATATCTCTCTGGCTCTTTGCTAGTAGAATCTGCAAGATCTATCTGGATCTTTGCCAGTAGAATCTGCTAGATCCATCTGGATCTTTAGCACTAGAATCTGCTAGATCCATCTGGATCCCTACCAATAGAATCTGCTAGATCTATCTGGATCTTTGCCAGTAGAATCTGCGAGATCTGTCTGGATCTTTGCCGGTAGAATCTGCGAGATCTATCTGGATCTCTACCGGTAGAATCTGCTAGATCAATCTGGATCTCTAACAGTACAATCTGTCAGATCTTAATCTCTACCCTGGCATACATGATATACTAGTAATATAAGCAGACTGTGAGCCGGGTATAAGAGCATGTCATGTTGCGATTCAGTGAAACTGCAGTGACTTTTTTACGTCCAGTCGATCGTGTAGTTAATAAGCTGCCTCGACAAGTATACATGAATGCAAGTATACAGTAATGTGGGCAATTAGTGGACGAAGCGCGCTCTCAAAAACCCTATGGTATTTTAAGTTCGGTGAACAAGTCAGGACGCAAAGAAGATGACATTGATTTTGACATATGTATAAGTTGAGAAGACCTACTCAGTTCACAGTTGACGCCCGCGAACCCGTGCGGACATGTACAGGTGTAGGACAGCTGACCGTCCGTGCAGACGCCGCCGTTCTGGCACGGGTCGGGGTCACATTCGTCGGTTTCTGGGGACGAATAATACAAACCGAGTTGTACTTACAGGAGATGATGCACAATAGAATGGAATAGAATCAAGGACATTACTCAGTATGTAGGGTGTCTTTGATAGGATAGGATAGGATAGGATAGAATATAATAGAATAGAATAGAATAGAATAGAGTAGAGTAGAGTAGAGTAGAGTAGAGTAGAGTAGAGTAGAGTAGAGTAGAGTAGAGTAGAGTAGAATAGAATAGAATAGAATAGAATAGAACAGAATAGAATAGAATAGAACAGGGAAAATAGAATAGAATAGAATAGAATAGAATAGAATAGAACAGGGAAAATAGAATAGAATAGAATAGAACAGAATAGAACAGGGAAAATAGAATAGAATAGAATAGAGTCATCGGTAGAGCCTGCTCGGAATATTCTTTGGAAAAGGTACAAAACTAGAGAGGCCGACATTTGCTTGGGAGCAAATACAGCATATTTCAGTCCATCTCCCTCCCACGCAAAAGTGGACTATTCCAAACTTACCCCAGTGTAAAACTGGCAAAGATTCTCAAATAAATGAATTATATAGGAGCTATGTAATTGAGAACAAAGATGCAAGAACAAGCACATTGTATCTCGAAAGCTTTACTAATCTTATTACAGGTATGCAAAATTACTAACAATGATGAGATTTGATACATTTTGAAGGTCTTAGGCACATAAAATTGAATGTGTGGGTCATTACGCATGACTTACGTGCAATGTGACCTTAGGTAACCCGCAATGGAACACGTGTTCCATGTCCAACGGCAGATGGAACAGCCATTCTTTAGATAGAACATGGAACGGGTATAGCACTTTTGGCCCTTTGTTTGCTGAAAATAGCCATTAAAGTCCCCAAATGAGTCATTTGGAAGTGGTGTATGCCAAATATGTGACTGCTATTCTGTATACACATGTTCAAGGTACCCCTATACCGAATTTCAGATCATTTGGTTGTAAAACCAGGGCTCAGGATCCAAAAATCC